CGCCCAGCCCACCACCGAGGAGATCGTCGAGAGGGAAAGGATACTTCGGTGAGTGTTGATTCTCTTGTTCCGATGTGTGTAAAAGTATCTATTACTGGATAACTGGAATTGGATAAATTGGATCGATGATTTCAATCGCTACCGTTCGTTGAAATTTCGTTTTTTTTTTTTACGTAGAGGAGAAATATCGAAATTAGGGGGGAAGAGAGAGGGAGAGTGGAAAAGAGGAGAGAGTTTAGGACGATGAAATCGCGATTAATACAAGAACTTTGGTCGTCCCCTCGATCACAATAGGATCGACCGCTATCGGTTTCAACTTTTCGATCCGCTTGGCTCGGTTTCAATAGCGTTTCTGCACGTTTTTGCACCTTGCGTGCACACTTGCGGGCTCGGCCAGGGAACGAGAAATGCCATCGTGGAAGCGTACCATCTCTCTCTCTCTCTCTCTCTCTCTGCGCGGGGCAGCTGCTGCGTGCAGCAGCGTTTCTTGCGCGAGCCTCGGTGTTCGAGGGCTCTTTGTTTGCTCTCGCGTGACTGCCGCCTATAAGAGGGAGGAGACGAAAAAGTGGCCGGTAGCGTGGAAGGAGGCGGACGTGCCTCCACGTCCTCTACCTGTCCGCATTTCCGGGCAGCAGCTGCGACTCGCTGCCAACTTCCGCTCGATTATCGCGATGCGGGAGGACAACAGCCTCGCCGATCCAACTATTCGGCCCGACCTACGACCCGAGCCGATCGCCAACCGACCCCAAATTCCTTTGCCTCGTGTGTATAAATAAATTCGAGCCACCTAGGTCGAGTCGAGTGTCGTTGAACCCTCTTTCGTCGCCGGGGTGAATCGTCGTGTCGGGATAACGTCGACTCGCTACTTTTTCACGGCTCGTCGTTTAAATTTCTGGTTAATGCTAATCAACTTCTTTATCTTCCAATGTAGCGAGAAATAATATGCCTCGCTTTGAAATTCTTTTATGACATTTCTTTTTCGACATTGACTCGTCTCGTTTCACATCACTATCTCGTTTCACGCCACTTGTTATTATTAGGATATTAAGATAAAGTTTTTCGAATAAATGGTTAAGTGGTTCGTATTATTATTAATTCTATTCCGTGAAGGTTGAACGATATTCAAAGATCGTCGAGTTTAAGGGAAAGCTGACATTTCTAAAAAAGAAAAACTTTCGAAATAACAAAGAAATAAAACGGTAATAATTTATTACGTGTCTTGCACGTAAAAATTAATTCTCTCGACGAGATCGATATCGAACAGCTAAAACGCTTTCCTTAAGTAGTAGTTCGTTCTCGTTGAGAAAAAACGATGTTATGGTGTAGTGGAGAAGAGAAGAAGGCCTCGTTGTCGCGTAAATTCGTTTCATTCGGGATAGTGTCGAAATCGTGTCGTGTGTTCGTCCTACGCGCACTTTTTACCGCCTATCATCGACTTAACGAACCAACGTCACCGGATAAATTGCGACGTAGCCGGTCATAGGTTTCTCGCTGTTTCCACAACCTTCTTAGAAGGCTGAACGCGCTTCAACTCGAGCGTGACGCCTCCCCCCACTCCTCCCCTCTCCAACCAAAGACGCGTCCCTTTTCGAGCTCGGCGATTCGTTCACGTTCCCGCGAACAAGTTAATTAACGAGCAAACGAGCGGAGATATTAACGAAAGGCAAGAGCTAATAATTAGCCCCGCGCGGATATGAATGTTTCGTAAAGCAAGCAAGGACGAGTATCGAGTACCCTTCTTCTTCTGTTTCGAGTTTCTGCTTCTACTTTTGGTCACAGGATCTTACTTGTGACGTATATTATACTTTCGCTCTCTCGTGCATTCTCTCGTGTATATCGGGAACACGTGTTGTAATTATCTAGTCTTTTATGCGGTCAGGAAAAAAATTTCAGGAATTGATAAAAGGATTCTACGTCCATTGCGCACATGATAAACGTATAAATATGTACAAAAAAGAATTTTTCTAATTTTCTTCAGTTGGAAAACAATTGTCTCGGTTTGTGAAAAATTATTCCTCGAATCTTCGAATCAAATGAAATATTGTTGTTATTATTAACATCAATCGAAATCAGTTTAATCTTTTCTCTTATCATGTAAATATACACTGATTACTTCTAAATATATACACATATTTATATCACAAGATGGAAGAAAAAATTTTTATCGAACGTGATGCAAACGGAAAAAAAAAATAAATAAAAATATATAAACAATCAAGACGACGCTCGCACGAAATTTCATCTTTTAAATCGAATCCCCTTGAAATTTCTCGAATTCCGACAAAGACTTCTCGGGATATCGGGGAAGATTTAATTAAAATTTAAAGATCCGAAACTCGGCCCACTTTCGAGAGAAAGAAGCCAAGTTCCTTTTCTCGTTGAAATATCGGTTCTTCCTCGAGTTTAACGCTACGATTCGCAAAATGGGTGGCACGGTATATCAAAGAGGCAAGCGGGGGCTTCGGGCTATCTCGATCGAGCAAAACACTGCGGCGAAACGGCCTTTTCCCCTCGAAACGCCGTACCCTCTCTCTCTCTCTCTCTCTCTCTCTCCTAGCTGTTATTCTGCTCCAAATACGACCGATTACGTGGCTTCTTCTCCGTGTAACGAGCGCGATTTAACGCTTATGCAAGTTCTTCTCTTGAACTCTCTTCCCAAGAGAGAGAGAGAGAGAGAGAGAGAGGGGAGAGAAACTGGCATTTGGGCACAAGGTCAGATGCACATCGGTTCTTTTTATTTATCATCGATGCTTCTTCTCCTTCGTCTTCTTTTTCTTCCTCAACTTGCTCTTATTCGAATAAGAAAAACCAGGTTTTAAGATCGTTTGGGTAACCGGTATGAAGGGAAGGAATGGTTGGAAGCAGGAAGGTATAAAAATACGTGGAGTGCAAGAAAGGACCACCGATGCTCTGCTCTCTCCCCCCTGTGCTTGCAGAACAGCCTCGTCAAGGAGGATCTGCATCTGCATGGAAACATGGCATAACTGGTCGTTGCCAGTTTTTCCTAAATCGTATCACTCCTTTTGTGTCAGCCTGTTATAATATGCAGCTTTCTTGAATTGCGTACGTTGGTCTTTCCCATTGTTGTACACAGCGTTTTGTTGTTACATGCTGTACATGTTAATTCTTTCTTTCAATCGGACGAAGTAGCAGCTCTCGTTGCGTACACGTGTCTAACATAAAATGACTGTTTCAATAAAGAAACAAAAATCGATACCGTCCTCCTATTAATTGGAGATAACGAGTTCCATTTTATAAATCGCAAAGCGAATTGTTAATATATATATTATTCGTGAATTTTATTATTTTCTAGGATAAAACGTCGATTCATTTAAATTGGACGAAAAATAGAAATTAAAATCCGTCACCGATCGGAAGAAAGTTCGAAACTACGGTACGAAAATGGAGGGCTCCCCCCCTCCCCAATCGTAAATTGCGCGCGTTCGTTGAACGCGGCTCCCTCCTTCCCCCTCCCTTCTTCGCGTCCTTTCGCCTCTTTGACGATTCGAATGAGTTCATTACGCAACCAATTGGTATCCATCACGCGCAGACTTTCTTCTTTCGTCGTCGGTACTGTGGCTCGGGATGCCATTGAACACCGTGGACGAGCAATTTATCTCGAGGTCATCGCGTTATCGTCTCCCGCGGGGCAGAGGTGGAGTAGGAGGGAGACGCGTCCAAAGGCCGTGTGGGCGAAACGCAGACAATGATCAGCCGGTCGTTATGCGGTTCACGTGGCACACGTCCATCAACGAGGACGTTTTTGCACGCCGGTCACGCAGATGCCTGTAAAATCTGTCTCTCTCTCTTACTATTCGTCCCGCCCCTTGTAATTACCTATCGGCGCTTGCCACTGGATTCGCTCGAGGATTATATATATATATGTACGAAATTGAAGT